AAACACGTTTTCCCGTCGATCCATTCCTAGAATCTCTTCGTACTCACCACGCTGCATTTTCCTGCCTTGATCTTTCCGAGAATCCTACGCCAATTTCGGAAGTTTATGAAAACAAACAATATCCGTCACCGAACTTAAGAGTGTATCACCATTACCATTTGAAATACCTAAAAAAAACCCTCAAAGATAAAATCGGAAAAAAATCAAGAACGCGTGTCACTACGTGTTCCTCTGACAGCACAAAAAACTGGAAACGTCACGTGAAACGGAACGCTGATGAAAAATGCATATAATAAACGGAAAATACATGTACTAAATATACTGATTAATCAAAGAATAAAGTACAGCCGGTTTATTCTATCTACATTTTGAAATGCTCATAAAAATTCGTAGAAAATGTTTTTTCGATTGTACAGTCATTCATATCTGCCTCGATGGCTGACTGAGTACCTAATTTTACTAATAGCTCATAACAAAACTGTCTATTAATTTATACCAACGTATTTCAAAGGAGGTCCCAATATTTAAACAATTAACAAACATGTTCTCATTTTTAAATTTTAGCTATTTTACCTTGGTATTATGGGTTTCATATCTAAAAATGCGACCTTGGTGTCGGTCCCTGGATGCAACCAATCGTACTCAATAGATGTTTGCGTTGCATATTCTAAAAACAGGAGGCGCACACACGTTCTCAGCGCGCATTGTGTGTAGCAAATCACTCACGTTGATAGGGGTGATTTTCAAAGACTAAAGCTTATTAGACAACAAGTGTCATAAGAATAGAATAAAATCAATAATCAAATGCTCCAGGACTTCTAGGAGCTCATATTTCATTACCATTGAAATTATCGTCGTTTAAAGATTTCTGTATTCTGGAAAACTTTGAAAGTTCGATGATACTGTGCACGCCCACACGCGAACAGCTTTTCCCCTCTTTTACGGCTTTACAAAAATAGAGGGGCTAAACGGGATTTTGATCGACGTTCCGTGAAGGGACAATTTCAAATTCCTAACGTAATTCGGCAAAATTCCCTTGCTATGAAAAATGTTCAGGATTTAGTTTAAGAAAAAAAAAAAAAAAAAAAAAAAAAAAAAAAATCACTATCAATTCTACAATAGGCCCGTAGTCCGTAGAATTGTGCAAGAAGTAACTTACTTAACCTTACTTACTTTATTGCTCTTAATAATTAAGTCTGTTGGCGTTTTGTAACTATTTATCTTGTTATCTTCAAAGATCTTTTTTTTTCTTTTTTTTTCAAAATAATCATAGAATTTTCTTTGTACTTATCATTCTCTTTTACATTGGTAAATTGCTGCCGTCCCTGAGGGGTTCTTAAAAATTATTATTTATTGAATTCCACTCAAAGTGCGTTTAACTTGTTTTCTCTGAGGCTGTCGATACCTTATACTTCTCTTAATTACAGGATAAATCATCATTTCAAACTGCAACAATTTCAAACAACAAACCTTTCAAACTGAAACGATTATGAATACAGCCGTATGTAATCATCACTACAATAACGTTACATTCAGGACTGTTTCCTGAGAGTGTCTTATGTCATGTATTTGCCTTTCAAAGTACGGGAAGAAATCAATCTTTATACCGAAAAATATTACATTTTAGTATTTATGTGGTTTTTAAATATTGGCACAACAAGATAACCTCCTGATTCCCGACTGTAAATTTTGATCACAACTCAGGAATTGTGGTTTTTAAGTCATGCTGAAGCCCTTGTCTTGTCGGTAGACTTAGAAAACAATAATTAAAAATTATCGTGATCAAAATTTACTCACAAATGATAACTGAGCAGAAAGTTTTTCATCACAGACACTTGTTGATTTTCATCACATCACAATAATTCCAGTAGGTGTAGCTAAAATACTATCATAGTAACAACTAAACATATTAAATCAGTAATTAGGGAGTCAAGTGAATGGGTACGGCATGACAGTCGAAAAAATATTGATGATTAGCCTAACGAAAAATCCTTAACATTTAAATCGCTGTATTCATAATCTTTAATTTTTTAAATTTTCACCATGAAAATTATTTTCATGCTAAAATGGCATATCTGTGATTCTTTTAAAGACTAAAACTGCACAGAAAATAATTACTAAATATATGTAAAATCAATTGAATGCAAGTGAATTTAAAATTTCAAAATTGACGGTGTGTGTGTGGAAGATAAAATCAGTAACTCTCATTAACTACAATGAGACGCTTAAAGATTAGAGTCCGTTTCCATTATTAAAGAGCCAGAAGTTAATTACTATGATTGTTGAAAGAAAAAATTGGTCTCATATCTTTCGTTGTGCCAAATGTATTTTACAGAATTTGCAGCGGTGAATACTTCACTGTTTTTCCAGGTTGATTTTTTGTATTGTTATTATCGATATGCTATAACTGTGTGGCTTAAAATGAATGCTTGACATTTCTTTAGAGCAAGGCCATAAGCATATAATGAAAATAAACAATTAATGTTATAAAAGATTTGTAGTGCACTTATATACCACTGATTACATTTCTAAAAATGTAAACCTAATTGTTGGCTTTAATAAACCTCCTACATGCTTTCATATGTGCCAAAATTGCTAGTCCGACCATGCCCGGAGATCCTAATACTCCGCTTATTATCAATTTGCCCTAAAAATGAATCAACATTCTTGCATGAATTTTGAAAGAAAATGCTTGAAAGCAAAGAAAAATTTATAACTATCCTTGAAGAATATTTGCATCATAGTAGATAATAGTGACGGAATAGTTAGGTACATATCCCAATTTATTACTGTCGCACGTATTATTCTATTTTTGCCATCTTCATAATTTATCAAGAACGTTGACATTTTCTGACCGATAAATTGCTAGGGCTTTGTTTTGTATTCATAAAATTCAATGTGCCTCGCATGAGGAAAAAATATTTAAAATTTTCCCAACACACAGGAAATGATCCCATTTTAGATTGGAGCGGGCGGAGACTTGAACGCAGCATGCCCCGCCTCTGCACCTCTGGGGACGGGAGGTCTTTGTACTTTAAAATTATCGATTTCACGTTTTATCGATGGTAGAAAATTGCATATACTTTGATACCATCATCAAATTCAAATTATTTTGCAGTTGCGTGGCATCAACAAAAACAAAAATCAAGATTTGTGGGGAAACCCGCTAAGCGTTTGCTGTTTTTCAACATCCGCGGAAATTTTAATGTATCATCATAAAAAATTCCACCGACCGCACGAATAACCGAGTAGGCAAAATGAGCTCCCACGAGATCAAATAAATATATTCATTAACAAGGGTCCTAGTTCTTAATGCATTTGCAGTTCCCTGTGAGCGCCAATGGCTTCATTGGTGTCCTCAAAAGGGAATGTGAGAATGACACTAACGTAAAACGCAAGCAAGGAAAAGGGAAGCGACATGTGAAAAATATATCATAAAACCGATTGAATTTTGATTTTAAATTTGTTTCTTATTTACACTAAAAAATGCGGTAGAGTAGCGTACGGAAGAAGTCTTAAAAGGGAGGCCCACCAAAGTCCCTGTTTTACTGAAGCCGCTTACCCCCAGAAATCTTACCCATAGACGTAACCTGTCGTGTCTCTGAATCTTTCGGCACCCAAAAGTATGATATTACAAAACAGCTTCTAAAAAAATTATAAATATGATTACAAGCAGAAAAAACGCATTCCCTCTCGCCCGCCGCGGTTATCAAAATTCAGATGACCTGTTCCGGAAAGTTACACGTCTAGCTTACCAATGTCACTCGTCTAAGTAGCTTTGTTACTGGCAAAGGTTCACTTAGCATATGCGCGTAACACACAAGTGACGAATGTTCGCGAGTGGATTTGGTTGACTCTTTCAAACAAATCCTGATGAAGAACGGTTTCCTCAACTCAATCCGCTAGGTTGTTGAGCTCACTGGCAACCGGCAAATACAAATTTCTCGACCTGACTCCGGCGGTAGGCCGAAAAGTGGACGGGAGTGAACGGTTTTATCAGAAACCTCTATAAGCAACAAATTTTTCTAAAATGGAGATGTTCTTTGCGACGGAAACAAAAACGGAGTGACAACAACTGCAGTGAAGTGATGGTGATAAGTAAAGTTTAAAAAGTGGAATTATTTTTATATGTTTGTCTTATAATTTTTATGATATTTTATATCGTATATTAAGTCGTGCTGCATTGGCCAATTTGCGCGCTTCTTTCTAATCCGGATTTGGCGGTTTTCTTCAGGACTTGGTTGAAAATCAGATACTCGACTCTGACCGGTCCAAATTCCAAAGGTGATACAACAGTCATCTTTCCAAACAATTAACAGAACCCAGTCATAAAAAATCCGCCTAATGATGAGTGAAATTGATAACTTTGTGGTGTAACTTTCTGGCGCACGTCTTTTGAATCTTAACAACGACGGCGAGCGAGGGGCACTGCACTTTCTTTTTGAATGGATATAGCGAAGAATTTGTTTGAACCGCGTCAAGCAGAAAGTAACCAAGCCACATCAGCTTTTGACAAATTTAACTTTGCAATTTATTCTTTACATTGAAACGGTTGTGCTGATTTTTGTGCAAATTTCAGTGAATTTTCTGCATAGTACGAAGCAAATTCCTCAAAATGTTCAAAGAAATCCGCACAAACGTTCTCTTGTAGAGAATCAAATTGCCCAGTTAAATTTGGCAATACCTGATGTGGCTTGGTTCCTTTCTGCTAAACGTTGTCCATTTAACCTCACTGGGGGAAAAAAACACATTGGATCCAGAGTCCAGACTCTTAAAAACATCGACAAGGAAAAGAACTCTTGATTCAATCGGATTTTTGCTTAAATCAAGAACCAAGCCTCTGAATTGGAGCTGATTTCTTTTTGATGTAAGCAAAAATCTGATTGAATCAAAAGTATTTTTTCTTGTCAATGTTTTCAAGAGTCTGGACTCTAGATCCGAGCTGTTTTTTTCCCAGTGTTTCAACCGACATTCTGCAGGTGAGGAAGTTCGGGACGTACCTCTGCCGCTCCTGCCGACGAACCGGAGGTCGTTGAACTTGGCCACTTGGTTCTTCATGACGGCGGTGCAGTTGCGGAGCTCGGCGCAGAAGTTCTCGTCGTTGCCGGCCCGGATGGTGACGACGGTGCCGTCCATGACGTCACCGAGGGCGACCACCTTGAAGGCCACCGGGAGGGTCTTGTTGGAGCGCCAGTGCGGCGGGAGGACCGTGCAGACCACGTGCGGGCTCCCCGTCCGCACCAACTCCCCCGGGTGCTCGGCCAGGAGCCCGTCCAACGTTCGCTCGGCCAATATGTCCGCCGTCAGCAGCGACGAGTCCTCCTCACTCATGTCTTTCGAGAGATGCATCCTCGACCCGCATCCCACCGCACCCCCGAGAATCTCCTGATGCACACGCCGAAGAAGCTCCTGATGCACTTAACGAAGAATTTCCTAATGCACACACCGAATTCAAGTCGTGCCGCACAAACCGTTAAGTTTTCCCACAAACCGTCGATGGATCTTAACCGACAGTTCTTGCTCTTCGATAATGCACTTTGCCTTGAGCTGTTTCGGAGATTGAGATATATTCAATGCGGATTTCTGAAACGTTCTATCGCACTCAAACTCCTACAAATTCAAATTATCACTTTATCCTTTGAGAAGATGCAGCTCGTGCAAAAGAATGGGTTTGGATGGTTCAATTAGTCCGGAGAACCATGAATGCAGATTCAAATCCAATACGCACAATCCCAGAGTTTTATGTGTAAATATGTAAACTGATCTTAATATAATTAGTCGTAAATATTCAAAGTAGAAATTTAATTTGATTGATTTTGTGAACTTTCTTCGTAGATTTATTTTAACGACTTTGAAAAAAGATCAAATAATCCTTTCGTTACCAAATCTAGCAAATCACACTCTTGGCGCAATATTCCGTATCACGCGGCATGAAAAAATTTGAAAATCCTGTCAAATTAGAGGATTCTTTTCGAATTCACTATTGATCTAGAGAAGGTAGGAGTTTGAGTAAAATTTACTATGAAGTGGTAGTTTTCATGATTGTTGAATGAATTTTAAAACTGATTGAAATCAGTTTTAAAAAAGTCTAGGAGATATGTCATTTGCTGAAATCATCATTCGCAGAGGTTTCACAAATTTCAAGAGATCAGCACCAACCGATCACCTTTTCGTCTCGAAGACATGAATAAATTTAACACATATCAATTTCAAGCGAAGCTATATAGACATTTAGATCGACGGCTGAACCACACTTTTTCCCGACACAATATAAGGTTCTTCCTTCGACAAGTAACTTCAACAGCTCACTCGACTATCCGCAAAATCGATTGATGGCTCCTTCTGAAAGTTCAGTAGATTTTGACCGAATTCTCAAGAAATCCTCTCCAAGATTTTCAGGATGAATCATCAGGCAAAAACAGTTATCACATGCTGCAGAGTATCCTTGTCGCGGGTGGTAAACTGGCTCGCACCAATCCTGTTCACTTCGTGTCAACCGGAAGTCGAAGACGCACTGGTGATATCCGACACACTTTTCATTCGATTTCCGCGCGACACTCACGATTTATGGAGTACACTATAACTGATTCACATCAATCAGAGTGTAATCAGTCTTGAACGCACAACTACAACGCGGTACAAAATAACATAGTGCTTAATGGGTCTCGCACCGTGAACGGGTTCAACCACAAGTTCGGGAATCGTGGTGGTGTGTGCTACTGGACAATATTTGCGCGGATTTCGAAGACATGGACTTTAGCGATAACAGATTCAACGATAACGGAAAAAAGTCGCGGGAAATCAGCCGAGTCGAGTCAGCTGCCAATGGCCGGGAAGAGCAGGATCGCGGACGCGTTTTTCCTCTGGGCCGAGCGGCGGGGAAAAGATTTTCGGTTTGAGGGCGACCAAGATTTCTTCATTTTCGGTTTTGATTTCGCCCCGTCTTCCGTGCGGGGGGTGCGGGGAGGGGGGCAGCGGTCAAGGGGTAAGAGGGGAAACTGCGGCCTGCCACTCACCGCCAATTAGGGAGGGCCGGGGGGAACGCCTCCCAGGTGGGTGCGTGCGCGCTCTGACGGGGGGAGATATGAAGCGAGGACGACGGTGCGCTTCTTTTCGGGCGACTCAAACGAGAAGAACTGACAACCAAAAAAAGGAAAAAGCTCGCGAGGAGGGCAGGGATGCGGCGGAGGGGAGCGGGGCGCGGGGGTGGGGAAGAGCGCGGTTCTGGGTTTCCACTGGGGGCGGCGTTCTGAGGGCGGAGCGGCTTGGCTCTGCGGCAAGACGCCGCTGGTTGCGGCCTTCCCTCCCGCCAAGAAAACGAAAGAACCTGAGAAAAGATATGAAAAGAAGCGCGGTCGCTAAGAAAGAAAGTTGGGAAAGAAAGGCGAAGCGCATGCTTCCTTCTCCCCCCCCCCCCCCCCCCCC